GGGGGTTACTTTGGAATAAGCAGGAGCCCCAGAAATAAAGAGAGTTCACACTCACTCAAAAGCTTTTTTCCATAGCCTCCACAAGGCGCTCAGAAAGATGAGGGGCCAGGCAGGAGAATAGAGAAAGCCCATGTGGTAGCACAGGCATGCAGGAAATGACTGGCTGCTGGTGGGGGACAGGCACAAAGCCCCTCCCTCTTCCCCATGTCCCTTCTTTCCTACCCTCTGGCTCTTAAAGCCATTGCAGAAAGTTGTTAGTAAATGTCTGTTGAATGAATGAATATATGAAAAATATTATCTTAACAGTTGTCAGCAGAATGTACAATGAAAACAGTTCAAAATTAAATTGTTGTAAATTTCAACACTCATGTACAGTTAGGCAGCAAGCATATTAACAAATACTTTGCCTTACTGCTAATAAAAGAAACACAAGTTTAAGTTTAAATGCTCATGTTCTCTCTCCATGATTTTTTTTTTAACTATCCTTTTTTCCTTCTTTCTCTTGTAAGGTAGGGATAGCATCTGATGATTCAAAGAGTCTTCCTGGTAGGCTTGGAAAGATCTAGGTACAGATAAAGTTGGCCAGTCAAGAAAAAGTTAATATTGGCCCTGTCTTTATCTGCTCCCAAAGAGTTTTAGTTTTCGAAACTTGTATTATCTAATGATACTCCAAATTAGACCACAGCCTCTTGATTCTCTCCTATTCATCTGTTTTAACTCCCTAATCCTGGGTCATTAGCAAATATCTTTTTCTTGGTACTGTCTTCTTTAGGAGATTCGCCTAGGATTTTTTTTTTTTTTAAGATTTTATTTATTTATTTGACAGAGACAGCGAGGGTACAAGCGGGGGAACAGTAGAGGGTGAGGGAGAAGCAGACTCCCCGCCAAGCAGGGAACCCGATGCGGGGCTCGATCCCAGAACCCTGAGATCATGACCTGAGCCGAAGGCAGATGCTTAACCATCTGAGCCACCCAGGCGCCCTGCACCTAGGATTTAAATGCCTCCTTGCTCATATCTATGTGACTAATGAGAAGGTGAGCTTGTAAAAGAGGGGCTTATACTGTCCTGATGGCTAACTTTTTTTTAAATTGAGATATAACTGACATATAAAATTATATTAGTTTTCAGGTATACAATATAATGATTCAATATTTGTATACATTGAGAAATGATCACCAGAAAAAGTATAGTTAATACCCATCACCACACATAGTTACAAAAATTTTTTTCTTGTGATGAGAACTTTCAAGATCTACTCTTTTAGCAACTTTCCAATATGCAATGCAGTTATTAACTATAGTCACCATGTTATACACTACATCCCCATTATTTATTCATTTTATAACTGGAAGTTTGTACATTCTGACCCCCTTCACCCATTTCACCCACCCCCACACCCCACCTTTAGAAACCTGTTCTATCTATGAGCTAGGTTTTTTTTTTTAATAACATACCACACATAAGTGAGATATACAGTATTTGCCTTTCTCTGCCTCACTCATTTCACTTAGCATAAAAATGCCCTCAAGGTCTACCCACCTTGTCAGAAAATTTTTTGATAAAGACTCTTCGTTATAAAAACAATACATGCTTACAACAGAAAAATACAAATTAAAAAAGTCATCTGTATCACTCACCTAGACTTTGCACATAAATGGATAAACACAGAAAGTCTCAAATTTGTGTGATATTTTATATTAATAATTTAATTTTTAAAATGGTTTATCATGCATATACTATGCATTTCCCCCCATTTGGCAGTATTCCAAAAACATGCTTCCATATCAGCGGTTGTATTTCTGCAATAGTTATAATGTCTGCATAATATTTCATTACATAGATGTACCACAGTATCTTTCTTTTCAAAATCAGTATTAGTAAATAATTCTCCACTAAAGGATAAGTAACTATTTCAAATCTTTTAACGATTATTCAAATTAATGAAGAGGAGGGAGCTGTCAAAAAGTCACTCTAAAGTTTAAGCCTCAATAATTAATAATGGAGAAAATGAACTACATAATGAACATCTTCGAATACTATGCTTGATACTCACCAGGGGAAACAAAACTATAATCTGAGAAAAAGATTTTTATGCCATAAGGAAAAGAAAGGAAATGAACACATTTACAATGCTTCTCAAATTGTCCATCACAAATGACCAAGGCTTATGGCAGACCTGGTTTTTTGGATTGATGATATGAATCTACTCATTCATTTTACTTAAGAGAAAAACAGGAAAAAAAATTGTCTGTCATAAGATCAATAAGCCCAGAGTGAAAAACAGGTTTCTTCAAACAAATTGAGGATGATAAAGAATTTCATAAAACCCAGAAATTCTTTCTTCTATATATTTTCAAAACACTGAAAATAATAACATGCAGTTTTTGTTTCTGAATATGAAAAAATGTGGGTGAGAAAATCTTTAGAATGAAGGAATAGAAAAGATTTTTCTAAGCATGCCACAAATATGTGAACACATAAAAATTAACTCCACATGACAACAACCTAATGTGCTGAAATACATGAAAAAACTGAGAAAAATACCTATAACATGATAATTAATTAACATTTCTTAATACACAAAGAGTTATTAATAGTCAATGAAAAGTCAAAACTATTCCCAAAGAGCTAAATGGACAGAAGAGTGAAAAAACAATTCCAAAGCAAATAAAAACATATGAATAATGTTAAACCTTAGAGAAATTTTAAAAATTGATAAAATCCCATGTTGGTAAGGTTTCTTATGCAAGGAGGACAGTATAAATTGATACAGCCTTTCAGAAGGACAGTTTGTAAAAAGTATCAAAATATAAAGTAATTAATCTCATTTCTAGGAATTAACCCTACAAAAATAATGACATATAACATATATTTATATACCGCAGTATTGCTTGTAATATAAGATAAAAAAAATAAACCGTCTATAAATGGGAGAACCAGTGAAATAAATTATGGTACACAGACGTACATACAAGAGAATGCTACGTAGCTGTTAAAAATGTTGACAGTACATTTAAATTTGGTGGTGTTGAAAGCCATCCATGAGACTGTAGGGTTTTCAAAAAGAAGAGGTTAGAGCATAGACAATATGGTGTCATGTTATTAATGTCAAATGGTTACATAGATTGTTACATAGGAATGTCTTCTGAAAGGATGGTCACTAAAACGCTAACAATGAGTTCTGATGATTTTTACACACTTCATAATATTTTTCTGGATTAAAAAAATAAATGTGTCACTTTTACAAAAATAACACTCATAAATTATGACAGACTCAACTGTTTTATTCCCAGCGAGACAGATTTTATCTATATCTAGTTTGGCTATCAAGTCCAGCTAGTTGTTTTATGTTTGCTTTGTTTTCTTGTTACTTTAATAACTGTAGTATACAAAGAAGTTCAAAAACCCTTGGAATTTCCTGAGTGATATTGTCTTTGCTATGCTAAGGAGGTGACTCTGGGAGGGCCCTGAGATAGCTACAAGATTGGGATTTTCAGCCATTGACCTCCAGGGAGTGGAAGGAGGGCTGAAATTGAGTTCAATGATGTGGCCAATGATTTAATCAACAATGCCTACATAATGAAGCCCTAATAAAAACTTTGAACATCAAAGGTCAGTGGAGCCTCTAGGTTGGCAAACACATTGCTGTGTGAGGAGAGTGATGTGCCTTGACACCACAGGTAGAAGGCATGGAAGCTCTGTATTCCCTCCCAGATCTCACTCACCCTATTTGTATCCTTTATAACAAAACTGCAGTAGCACTTCCCAAGCTCTCTGAGTCATTCCAGTGAATTATCAAACCTGAAGGGGGTTGTGAGAACCTCCTGGATTGATAGGCAGTTGGTCAGAGGTACAGGTGGCCTGGGGACACCCCGCCCCACACTTGCAGCTAGAGTCTGAAGTAGGGGTGGTCTTATGGAGGACTCTGCCCTTAACCTGTGGGATTTGCACTAACTCCAGGTAGTTATATTGCAGCAGGATTATATTGCAGCACACCTAGCTGGTGTCAGACCAGTCAGGCTCACACAGGATAGTAATCTTCCTAAGTAATGATATAATACTATTTTCTGTAACTAATACTTTTGAGAGTAAAGAAAATGTCATAATTTGCTAAATGGCCAATAGTTTTGTTGATCAGATTTTGTGATTTTTCTACCACAAACAATAAAATGCAAGAAATGTTTACCCTTCCTGGGTACCCAAATGGCTCCTCAAATATGTTATTCATGCAGCTCTCCCAAGCTATACTCCCACATATGTGTACCTCTACTCACTACTATACTGCATTTCTCTATGCCTCTCTCTCATACAGTGGATTGTGAATTCCAAAGCAAGGACCACATCTTATTCACCTTTGTATTCTCAGAGTCTACCACAGTGCCTAAAACACAGCAGATGCCTCACAAGTTTGGTGAATGCATGAGTCAACAAAATAGTTCTGTCCATCCAAATCACTTCTGCCAAGGAAGGTGCTTAATGGGGGCTTTGGCTTGAAACTACATAGCCATTTTGGACTCTTCCATATCTCTATTCAACTAAATACTATGTCTGGTAGATCAAAGAGATAAGTGACCTCTGCAAGAAAATAGTAAATAAAAATAAGAATTCCTTTAAACACGATAAGAAAAAAGAGGATGGTGTCACATATTGTTTTTCTCTTCTCTTTGATCTTTGTGGTCTCTTACTACAATAGAACATTAGAAATCCAAGGTTCGGGGCGCCTGGGTGGCTCAGTCGTTGAGCGTCTGCCTTCGGCTCGAGTCATGATCCCAGGGTGCTGGGATCGAGCCTCCCATCAGGCTCCCTGCTCAGCAGGAAGCCTGCTTCTCCCTCTCCCACTCCCCCTACTTGTGTTCCCTCTCTTGCTGTGTCTCTCTCTGTCAAATAAATAAATAAAATCTTTAAAAAAAAAAAAAAAAAAGAAATCCAAGTTTGAAGGACTAACTTTTCTCCCTAATCAGACTCCTATTATCCTTCTTACAACAACTTACTTACTCACCTTTTAATCTAGCATCACCACCAAAGGCACCACAGCCCCAGTTTCCTGTGGCCACTGCAGAAAGATTCTCTGAAGAAACTCCAGGACGGAGAAATCCACAGTAAGCCTGCAGGATGAAAGGAACATCATAACATGTGAGTGACTAGACATTAACAGTACTTCTGACTGATGTACTAGGATCAGTAGCTATTATCAAGCTTATGTTTTCTTTCTTTTCTTTTTTTTTCTTTTCTTCCCTCCTTCCTTCCTTTCTTCCTCCTTCCCTCCCTCCCTCCCTTCCTTCCTTCCTTTTTCTTCCTTCCTTCCTTCCTTTCTGGGCCAAAGTAGAGGGAAAAACAGAAAATCCTGGGATTATACAAGAAGCGAGTAAGAAATGATCAATTCTAATATTTATTTGTTTTGATGCTGGACAAATCAAAACCTTTAAACCAATACAGGTCTCAGTTTCTTTATCTGATTCAAATATAAATGGAAATATCAGAGATATTTCAAGAACTGATGGGATCCCAATTACAAACTACCAGAACTAAAGGGAGGAAAGGCACTTAATACATTTCTTTATTTGAAGGCTTCTGATCACCATTTTTTTCCATTATGCTTCCTCAGTACTCACTCTCTGAATTATTGGGACTAGATTAATAACTGTGATTAGCTTTTAAATGTGCTTCCTGCCACGAAATGCTTGATAATGAGCAAACAACTAACCTTTAAGATCCCCTCCAGCTCTAAGATTCTCTGGTTTCACAGCTCTGTTTTAAGCCAGAATATTTTAAAATTCGCTAGTCACCTGAGAAAAGTACAATACATCCTGAGGATGCTGGCTAAGTATTAATTAGAAGAACAGCTTATTTTGTATATGAGAAGACTGCAGTTTAAGGTCCCAGAGTTTCTGTTTTCCATTCTTTGCTGTCAGCCCAGTTGGTCTTTCTGCCTCCTAAGGGTTCTTAGTTTTCTGAAACTATCAGACTACATTAAAAAGTTTAATATAATACTCCCCTGGGTTCTCTCAAGTACCAAACAAAGTCTAAAATATAGCTTATGTATAATAGTAAATAAAATAAAAAGAATGATGTGTGACATTTGTTCCCAGAGAAAAACCAAGGATAAAGAAAGATGCTTCTAGGGCGCCTGGGTGGCTCAGTCGTTGGGCGTCTGCCTTCGGCTCAGGTCATGATCCCAGGGTCCTGGGATCGAGTCCCCCATCGGGCTCCCTGCTCCGCGGGAGGCCTGCATCTCCCTCTCCCACTCCCCCTGCTTGTGTTCCTGCTCTCACTATGTCTCTCTCTGTCAAATAAATAAATAAAATCTTAAAAAAAAAAAAAGAAAGATGCTTCTATGAAACCCACACATAAAATATAGTAAATTGCTCTCTAAAGTTTCCACAAAGGTATAAAAATTTATTTTACACACTGTCTGGATAGATTAACAAGGCTATTCCTTCCACCCCCTCCTAGGCTGTAAATCCTGACAGATATTAATTATAAGTTGGTACCAGACCATTATTCAACGCTGTGGTACAGAGCTTACACTAGAACTCACAAATTACCTGTGTAATCAGATGCATGGAGTTTCTGAAAATCTCTTTCAGATCAAAAATATCAAAGAGCTCAATTTTTTTTTTTTGAGCAGGTTATCAAAAGATATAGAGTCTGTCTTTATGCCAACAAGGGGGAGAACAAACTCTGTCAGAACAGACATAATTTTGCCACTTGGTTTTCTGTCAAACTCTCCTTAACAGGCCTAGATGAAGAAGATGATTTCTTAGCCTCCTGTTGGGGCTGCCTCTCTTTTATACTGTCAGAAGGGCTTTAGTCTCTTCCTACTGCCATCTCTATATCTGGGATGACTCATCTTTAATGAGCAAACATAGCTTGGTGAAACTAGAGCCTAACAACAGAGAATTTGAAATATTTATATTATTAGGAGAAAAATCTAACGTAAAGCACTAAATCAATTGTACTAAAAAACAAAACAAAAAACCTCCACAACTACTTTGGAAAATGGCCACAACAAAAAACAAACTATAAAACTGACATTAACCTACATTCGGTGTTTTGATCAAAACAAATCAAAACTTTAAAAAGTTAACCAGAAATTAAATGATATAAAACACCTACAAAGTAATTAGGTATAAAGAATAACTGTTTATAATAAATACAAAATTCTTTTATTCTGTTTAAACTAAGCATTTCTAAGGTCAGAAGTAAGAGACAGGCAGCAAGCTCCTCTGAGTCCCCTTTAGACAGACAACCTATGCTTCTCCCTTCTGCAGTAAGGAGAGCGATCCCTCAAATGCTACAGACCAGAGCAGGGTCACTAATCAGGGAATCATTTCCTTTTACAACAGTAATGAGACCCTTTAGTAACAAATAAAGATCAGATAAGGATAGAGACCTCAAAAGGGTTGCCAAGTTCTTACTTCATAGGGAAGTTCTCAAGAGCTCCATGCTGGCAACAAATAAATTTTTTTTCCCACACCCACAGCCAGAGAACTTGAGGAGATTAATCAGAGCAGTAAGAATAAAAAGAAAGCCAGCTCGAACTCTATAGTTACATCCTGACCTGACATTCACCAATCACAAGGCTATTTATTTTTACTAATAAACAACTTTAAAGAGAAAAAGAGGAAGCATTCATACCTTAGGACAGTAAGTACAGGATACCAATGAACACTTATATCTCAGAATGAATTTTGATGGGAAGGAAGAAGAAAGGTAAGATAAAGGTAATTTTGGAGTCCTGAAGGTCACAAAGGGGAGCTTTGAAAAGCAAGAGACAGGAAGAAAACACTGGTATCTAGAGTTAAAAACTACAGCCCAGGTGGGAAGTGATGAGATAAGGACAGAAATGTAGGATGGAAGCAAAGAAAGTGAAAAAGAAAACAATTGTAAAAACCTACAGGCTCAGAACTGGACCCAGGAAATAGAGGGTACTCACAGGAATAGTTGGTCACAAACACTGAGGCATACACATGCATGAACACATGCACACTGAAGTAAGAACTCAGGCTTCAACATCAAGTTTAGCAGGCCCAAGTAGATATAATTAAACTATGTCTTTCATTATAATGTAAACACATTATACTGTTTGCTAGATTAATAATTTAACAATTATTGTTCCTAAAGAGTTGCTTATTTGAAGACAATCCACCACCACTTGTCTAACGTAAATACATTTGGTACCAATACTGATTTTCTGATATCTTAGAATACTGTGATTTCTTAAAAACAAACATAATATTAAAAAATCCTTAATAATCTTTTGGAAAAGGGGCACCTAGGTGGCTCAGTCAGTTGACTGGCCGGCTCTTGATTTCAGCTCAGGTCATGATCTCAGGGTCCTAGGATTGAGCCACCGGTAGGGCTACACACTCAGCAGGGTGTCTGCTTGAGGATTTCTCTCCCTCTGTCCCACCCCTCCTGCTCTCTCTCTAAAATAAATATTTTTTAAAAAGAATCTTTTGGAAGAGAATAAAATAATGTTAATCAAGAATCTTAAAAATATCCTTAGAGGGGCACCTGGCTGGCTCAATGTGACTCTTGATCTTAGGGTTGTGAGTTCAAGCCCCACGACAGGCGTGGAGCTTACTTAAAAAAAAAAAAAAAATTATCCTTAAAGTAATAAGAATTTTGCAAATTTCTTTTGTTATTTGATTAAATAACAAAGAGGTTTATTACTACATTATGTATAATGAGAGGCACTTAGGACCACCTAATTGTTCAAAAAGAGTAGCTTAATCACAGTATGCCAATGCAACCAGTTTTATGGACATTAAACGTATTACTATGAAGATATTAGAAAGTATGAAAAATATTCACAATATATTGTTAAATATGTAAAATACAAAGTTATAGGTAGCTTCTGAACATATTTTTATGAAATTAAATATTCATGTGGAAAGACCTATAAAAATGAAAACTATTTGAAAGGTAGGATCATGAATGACTTTTTCTCTTTAAAATAACTGTAACATTAGTAAATTGATTTTGCTTTTGTTTAAAATGCTATGTAAAATGAAAGAATTGTGCAGACCTTAGTTTCCTCGTGTGTGAAATCGAAGATTGGACAAAGTATATCTATTGTTATTCTGATTCTATATATTAAGAGACTGAAGGAAAAATTCACTAAAAATGACATATTTTGGGCTAATATTCCTGAGAAGTAAAGTGACACATACAGTTGACCCTTGAACAAGATGAGTTTGAACTGCGTGGTCCACTTACATGGAGGGTTTTTTTGGATAAACACAATATAGTACTATAAATGTATTTTTCTCTTCCTTATGATTTTCTTAATAACATTTTCTTTAGCTTACCTTAAGAATACAGTATATAATACAGATAACATACAAACTATGTTTTTTTCTTTTTTTAAATTTTATTTTATTATGTTAATCACCATACATTACATCATTAGTTTTTGATGTAGTGTTCCATGATTCATTGTTTGCATATAACACCCAGTGCTCCATGTAGTACATGCCCTCTTTAATACCCATCACCAGGCTGTTGTCAGTAAGGCTTCCAGTCAATAGTAGGCTATAAATAGTTAAGTTTTGGGGGAGTTCAAAGTTATATGTAGATTTTTGACGGTGCTGAGGGTTGGCATCCCTAATCTCCAAGTTGTTCAAGAGTCAACTGTACTTTAAGAAAATATAAATGATCAGATGTTGAACTCCTCCTCCATTCTAACACTCTCCCAACTAACTGAGCTATATCAGCTACCCTACATGTTGAACTCCTTAGAAATACCAGCAGCTAGTATTGAACAACCATTAAACAAGCTCTGGTTTAATAACCTCTTTCCAAATTTGTTGATGGGTAATACCAAAAAAATCAAGAAATCAATTTAAAAAGGGTAAATGGCGGTGATTTCCTGTTGGGGTGGTCAGTTTGCTTTAATCAACGTCTGATCCAGAAGCCTCTATGTAATATATTCATTACTTAATCTTACTTGAATGAGTCTAACATGGTTTAATATAACTTTTCACAGATGATTTCTTTCTTCCCTTGCTGAGCTATTTGCCACTTTTGCAAGCTGGAGTCATAAATCTTTCCAACTACAAAAATAATTTTCCTCTAGAATGTCACCCAGCTGATCTCTCACAGTATTGCTTCACAATACCAGTTAGATAAAAGGAGGCCGATTCTTCCTTTTAAAAACCAACTCTGTTTGCAGGTCACGATGTGGGTCCAATAGGATAGGTGGAGCCTGGATGGAGCAGACTGTTTCTAGAGGGAATAAAACACTTTGTGGGCTTGCCCTTTCAATTATTATCTGATGACTAATGCCTAAAAGTAGCAAAAAAGCCCCTAGAGTTCAGAGATCCACATTGAATTCTGATGGTGAAAACTGGTCTTATGCTCTATTACTTCCTAGAAAAAATGAGTTTTTCTATTCCTGCTCACTTTCTCTCTGGCACAAAAAAAGCAGAATTGTATAAGTCATCTCTAAAGCATTTTAATATAGCTTTAAACCTAAGTTTACAAAACACAGTGAGATGTAAATATTTAACTTGAATTCTCTCCAAGTTGTGCTGTCAGTTTATGTAAAACTCCCTGTTGCTGTACTAAAATTCATACTCTCTTTTAATAGGTAAATGTAACCAATAAATGATGGAATGCTTTTATTTAGAAGGCCCAAAGTTATTTGGATTAGTTCTTTAAGTTGTCGATGACATTTAACAAAATCATTTATTCCTTTCTTCTTTTCCAATGAAAGAATTAGGAAACTAATTCTCAGCTAAAAGAGCAAATCTTTTGGAATCTCGCAGTGAATGACAGACATAATTTATTCAGTGCCTTCCCATAGTGCCGGGCCCTGAACTAGGTGTTTTCTCAATGTTAGCCCATGTACTGATGGGCTACTCTACACCTGTGGTACTTCCTTGTCTTATGGGAATTTAATAAATAGGCTGGGGGGGAAAAGCCCTCAAATTTCCTTAAAATAGTATATCAAACAAAAAAAGATATTGAGAAAAGCAATCAACTGGAGACTTGCTCACAGTATAGGATTATGATTAAAAGAGAAGAGGTAACCAAAGCATATATGCTTATAGGAGATTGTTAACAAAATGCAAGGAATATTCTTAATGATTTAAGACTTAAAACAGGTAAAAAGTCTGGAAAGACAGACCTTGTTATAGTAATCTCTATGTGGGAGGAGTTACATTTTTAAAAAGTGATTTGAAGTCAGGGGAACCTGGATTCAAGTCCTGACTTCATCACTGCCCATCTGTGTGACGTGGGGCAAGTTATTCAACTTCTTGAGGCTCAGTTCATGATCTCTAAATTGGAGACAAGAAAATTATCTACATCTCCCTGGGTGGTTCTGATTAAATCAGACACTGCATTTAAAGTGCTAAGTAGAGTGCCTGGCATATCATAAGCAATCATTTAATGTTATCTATTACTTTTACTATTGTTACTTATATAATTTAAGAAAACTTCTACCTGCACTTGACAGAAAAGAATCTCTTATGAACTATAAATTAGATTTAATTGTATATTAACATAAATGATGGCACGCTGAAACACAGAAGTACATAACTATCAATCCATCTGCTTCATGTGGTTTTATCTATTCCATACTTGAATCAACATTGGACTTACTGGGCTTTACCTAGCACTTAAAGAATATTTGGGAAATATCTACAAATCTGTAACATTTTAAGTCATTTAAGATAATGTATATCTAAAAAGTTTACCTTAAAAAAACTGTTAGTAATATCTAAGAAGTTTAATTAATCACCGACTAATGCATTTAACAAATATTTTTGAGAAGTTTTCATAAGCAAGGCAGCGTGCTTGGCACTGACTGACTTGAATGAAATAAAACTTTGTCTGCTGTTATTTAAAGACTCATTCTTTCTGTATAAAGTGGGTTTCCTTTGGACTCTACATTCTACAAATAAATGTTTTCCAATACTTACAACTAAATTAACCTATTCACATTTACCAAGTTTCACCGATAGGTAAATTGAGGTTAGTGCTATATCAGTAAATGTAGAGAACATCAATAGGCCATGGGCAGTTTAAAAAATAAAAGATTTATTTATGCCCAGGGTTATCATTTTAAAAAATCATATTTGCAGATAATTTCTAAAATTGAATGATCTAGCTCCTACAGAAAAGTATTTATGGGAATGTAAATTTTATCCATAAGAAAAAGAACCATTTAATTTGTGTTACTGTATGATTATGATTAAACACATTTCCTTTTCATATATTTCTCTCCAAACTACCTACTGCTTATATAAATGTCTTCTAGTATCAATGACCACGACCATGTGACAAATTCATATAAAACGTGTTTAGTAAAGAAGGAACATGTGATAAAAATCTGAAGATAAATCTCATTCTACTTGATATGTTTTATAATAAAAACACCATGTACTTGGAAATAATTGCTTTAAGGCAAGAGTTTGGAACAATAAAAGGCTTACATTTAAAATGTGTCTAATACGAACCATAAGAGACGATGGACTCTGAAAAACAAACTGAGGGTTCTAGAGGGGAGGGGGGTGGGAGGATGGGTTAGC